TATTAGCACAAAGTGCTCATATGAGCTATGATACTACAAAAATATTTTCCATGACACAAAATTATACTCCCTCCGTTTCAAAATAGATGACCCAACTTTACACTAAAGTTAGAACAAAGTTGAGTCATCTATTTTAGAACGGAGGGAGTAGAACCTTTGACCAAAGGAAAACACACCATATTACCAATATAGTACCTCCGTTCTTAAATATATGTCGTTGTGGCAGTTGGTAGTAGTTATTATCTGTTGCATAGTATTTTATCAATTATTAAGATAACTTAAGTAGCCATGCGGCAAAATAAAATCAATTGTAATACGTTCAATAAGATAACTCGAAATGGACTGCATGAAGAAAAAAATTACACCAGTTTACCTGCCCAAAAAGTAGGAGCCCCCAGGTTCCACCAAGTGTGTCTCCTGAGTTGTGTAGAATTCTAGTGTGCACCTTGCAACATTGTTAATTTAACGCGACCTAACGAGGGAGCTGTTGGGGATTTATTTACCTGCAACGTGGAATTGAATAAGAAAAGGAATAATTGTTAGGGAGCTGTTGGGGATTAATTTACTTGCAACATGGAATTGACTAAGGCTGGTTGTAATGGGGAGTATCATACACTAGTATCATATACATGATACTAGTGTATGATACTACCCCCTAATGCATAGTATCATATATTAGTATTATGTAGTATCATATTTATTGCCATGCATGACACAAAGTAGCATAGTATTTAATATGATACGGTATCATGATATGATACTACACCCTTTCTTTCTTCATTTAATGCTATGACACCTCATCAAAATTGCCTAGTTGGCATGCATGATACTAGCTATGATACTACCATTACGACCAGGCTAAGAAAAGGAATTGAGTAATGAGACAATGAGTTGTGACCAAATACCGAACGCTAGAAGCCAATGGAGCTGAGCGCGACTGCTGGCTAATCACATCGCCAAACCAGCCATCAGTTAGTCATTCATCCTCCTCCATTGCAAGCAACCTCACTCCTTCACGGGTCAGAACTTTCACAATACATACGTAGATCATGGAGGGAGCGGACAATAGGCCGGAAGTAGTGATCAATTACCATACCAAGAGTGCTGCGACCGCCCGAAACATTGCAAGCGCTGCAGGGTTCTTTGCGTTGTTGTGGTCTACTGTTGTGCTCCTCGGCGGCTTCGTTAGCGTCCTGACGATCAAGGATTTCTGGTCTCTCTCGGTACTCAGCCTTCTAATGGCGTCCCAGCTGTATGTCCATTTCTCATCTCTGGTTATTCTTTTTTTTTCTATAATAAAATTTAATATTCCAAGTATGTTCATTTCTCCACTCTGGCTGTCCTCTGGTTTTTAAAGAAGTCTTTGTGTTTATACATTTGTAATCTTATGCCTCACTAACACAAGACAAAACAGGATTCTGCTGGAAATGAAAATCGGTACGTCTTGGGATTATCTGGCAGAAATGCACATATTACGTTTGAGTAAGGGACACACATATCAGCTTAAGGGGGCAAGCCGATGCCTGCACTCGGGGAGTATATTTTTCGTGTTCATAGGGCTCATTGTGAAGATAATTGTTGCAATCTGTATAGCATTGCCCATCATATTCATCGGTCCATTTATGACCCTGGCGCTACCAGTGGTACGTCTCGTCCAACGGGATTACGGTGATGCTGGTGGAGATGCTGCAACCAAAGCAAAACTGGACGCTGCAATGATCATCTTCTATGTTCTTGTTACCTTTCAGAGTTTGTCTATCTTTCTCTGGATACTTGTTGATGGATCTGAAAAGCAGATGTTGGTGAGCAAACAATCTGGATTTGGGGTTTGGGGTCCTAAAATTGTACTGAAATACCAGTTAAAAACCAGAGCCAAGTATCTGAAGGATGGATTTTTGCCCGACGACTGGAACTTGATCACATTCAGTGTTGGACTGCTGGAGTCTGCAACCTGGGATGGCCATCTAGATGGAGCAAGGGTATTAGACACTTTAGCCATGCAAGGTATAAATATAAGACGAGGGCTACTATCTTCAAGCCAAGCCATTCAGAGTTTGCTCGACGTGATTATCGTCCCCACAAGAACAGACGACCCTGAGATTAGAGAGCGTGCCGCAAGGATTGTAGCAGATCTGGCCAGAGAGCTGCGTATAGCCCAGTTTTCGGATGTATTGAGATGCATATGCTGCTTACTTGAGAGCTGCAATAAATATAGTGCTCCAGAAGTTTCTCATCCGTCAGAGAATTTTGAGCAAACTCTTGATAAAACTGCCTACAAGGTGTCAGTAGAAACATTAGAGAATGGTCACCACCAAGAAGATGTCCACTTGTCATTGGCGATCACCGAGCAAACTGACCATAAACAAGTCGTCAATCTATCATCAGACAAGTCTCCCAAAAGAAGATCGACAAGGACCAAAAGGAATAGAAATAAGTACCACTACTCATATGTACCAAAAGGAACAAAAGAGATGATCTCTCAAGGACTGGTGATTCTTAAGAGGCTCACACAAGACGAAGAAAACTGCATAGAGATAATCAGACACCAAAGGCTCCTCAATAAGATCATATTACCATTGAACCACCAAGACTTCCTCAGAAATGGATGCGACCATACATGGGTTGACATGCTAAGCAGTTCCCTCACAGTGTTGAACAGGCTTATTAGTGTTGGACCTGCAGAGGACGCCACAAGGCTGCGCCATGATATGTCGCGCAACACAGTAGCTATCCACAATTTGTTGAGTATTTTGGAGGTTGACCGTAAAGGTGCCTTCTTGGAACTATGTGGACAAGCCATAGAGAGTCTTGCAGAGCTAGCAACTGTTTATCCTTTCAGAAAAGTAGCTTTTGATGAATCTGCGAGCATGAAAGAAATGTTTGCCAAGAGGTTGATGTGCATCTTCCTTGAGGATAGGATCGGAAATGATGTAGTGGCAGAAGAAGACCAAGAGAAACACAAGAAAGTGAGGAGAAAAGCAGGGGAAGCACTTGCCAGATTGCTTCGCATCCCAAGTGCAAGAGGTAACACTGATGCTTTGATTTCCGCAGCAAGTGCTAATGATGTTGATCTACTTCCCAATCGAGACATGATCAATCTGTTGACCAAGATAACTCTCTAACGCTGCATCTACCTATTTTAATCCTATTCAAATTTCCCTGGTGTTTCTGTGCAGTTCTAACATACATAAACAGAGACAACATGGGTTTGTTTTCCATTTTATCTTCTCTGCATGCAATTTTCTCTCTAATTTTAGGAGTTATTGATCTAAAGCGAAATTTGTTTTGACTGAAGATGGGTAATCCTACAAATACATTGTTCTTGTTTGATGAGTAATCTGCAGTACTCTGTTCTTTGTTTCTGTTTGTGAGGAATGCAGGCTATTCTCATTGTATCCAAATGCATGAGAGTCATATATGTTATGATTAAGCTGCACAAAAAAATGTTATGACTATAACATTTCTAATACTAACTTTGTGCTGAAAAAAATGTTCTAGGTTGTTAATCAAATATTATCTAAGAAAGGAGAAAAGGTTGCAGATGTGGCGACGCTGGCTGGTTCAAGCAATAGTATTCATGTAGAAATAGTTGCAGAAATCCAGCCTACAAACGTTGCTGACACAAACCAGCCTTCCAGTCAGGAAGATGATGAACAAGGCGAGGAAAGAAAATTGTTGGCGGCCATGTTATCCCTTACCGCGGCGATATGCAACAAAAATGTGATCAGTGGAGATGATTTTACTCGTGCCGTGCCTGACGATGCTACGCTCATCAAGAAGCTCAAGGAGATAGTAGAAGCTCTAGGGTTTCCCCGGAGCATCACGAGTGGGGCGCCATGACCTACAACAACGATGCCTCAAGAAGGGAACGACGTCATAGACGCCGCCATCGT